TCAAAGATTTATTCCTAGTTTATTCCCTAATGGCTTTGTAGATTTATATTTTGCATTTAAGTTCATGGTTCATTTTTAGTTAATTTTTCAAAAGATGCATGTTATGGTTAGGATTTAGTTTTTCCCCAAAGGCTCATGTATTGGGAGTTCGGTTTCTATTATGGCAGTGTTGAGAGGTAGACCTAATGGGAAGTTATTAGATTACTGGGGTGTCTTTGGAAGGAATTAACCTAGTTCTTATGGAATCCCATTTTCTTGCTCTGGTTTCCTGTTCCACCATGTGACTTTTCCTTGTGTATATTCCTGCCATTGTTACACTGTCCACCATCTGTCAAGGAGTGTTGAGAGCCACAGTTTAGTCAGAATGATGCCTGGCATTTTTGCCAGAGGGAATGGTTGAAAGGTGACCCTGCTCCAGGAATAGGGCGGCTCTGGGATTAGGGCGGATCCTGCTGCCGCCTGCTACTTTTGAGTTCTCACAATGGTGGAGGAAGTGTGTTCCCGGGAAGTGTGTGTAGAGTGCCGGTGAGAGTTCGGGAATAAAGAGTTGCTGTTTGAACCTACAAGGCTTTGTGGCGGCTCGGTTATTTTGTGCCCAGCCAGACTGCGGCAAAGGAGGTCCTCCCCAGAGTCCAGCCAATGCCAGCACCATGCCCTTGAGCCTACAGCTCTGTGAACTAAATAAATCTCTCTTTATTTTAAAATACTCATACCTAGATATTTCATTACAGTAGCAGAAAATGGACTAATAACAACTGTGAACCTTAAGTCAGGTTTCTTTCTTTCTTCCTTTTTTTGCCTATGGATGTTCAGTTGCTCCAGCCCTTATTATTAAAGAAATAATATTTCCTTCCTTAATTGCTTTGCACCTCTGTCTAAAATCAGTTGAACATACTGTGTATGTCTATTTCTGGGTTTTTGATACTGTTTCATTAACCCATGTTTTCATCCCTCTGTCAAAGCCTTTAATAACTTTATATAGTAAAGCCTTAGATTCAAGTAGACTGACTTTTTCTGTTTTATTCTTTTTCAAAACTGTTTTATTCTAGTTTCATTGTCTTTCCGTATAATTTAAGAATAATTTTATCCTTATGTCCAAAAAAAAAGAAAGTAAAGGGAGGTGGTCTTGCTGGAATTTTAACAGGAATTCCATTAAGTCTGTGTTACCAGTTTTTGGAAAGTTGACATGTTAGCTATTCTAATATTCTAATCTATGAATGTGGTGTATTTCTTCCTTTAATTTATTTAGATCTTTCTTTCATCAGTGTTTTGTACTTTGTAGTTTTGTGGTCAATATGCAAATTCTTTGTATGTTTTTTTTTTTAATTTACATGTAAGTATTTCAGTCTTTTAAACTTATTTTTTAAATTTAGATCTCCATTTGTTCAATACTAGCATATAGAAATAGAATTGATTTAAATTATTATTATCATTATCATCATTATTTTTGGTACCAGGGATTGAACCCAGGGTCACTCAAGCACTTTTTAATTTTTATTTTGATACAGGGTCTCACTGAGTTCCTCAGGGCTTTGCTATAAATGTTCTATCTTATATTCTGAAACCTTGCCGAACTCACTTGTTAGGTTTTTTTTAGGATTTATCTGTGATTTTCCATATAAACAATCATTTTATCCTTAATTAGGTTTTTCAGGGAGAGAAAAACAGTTGATGAATGGACAGATAACTAGCTAAGTAGGTAGAGAGAAAGAGGAGAGGGTATTTATTAGGGGATTGGCTCATGGAATTGTGAAGACTGAGAAGTTCTACAATAGAAGAACTTCTACAGGGAAGCCAGTCTCCCAGTTCAATCCAAGTCTGAAAGCCTTTACCAGCTACCTAGGCATCTCTGAATCAAGTTACATTAACATCTAGAATTAACCATCACATAGGGGCAATTGCACTATCTTTCCAAGCTGCATGTTTTGTTTCATTTTATTGTTTTGTTGCATTGAGTGGAACTTTGGTATTCTGTTGTAGTGAGAATGGACATCTTTGCCTGTTTCCTTTGTCTTAGTTATCCATGGACACAATATCATTACTTTGTTTATTTATTTTTATGTGGTGCTGAGGATCAAACCCAGGGCCTCATACATGTGAGACAAGCACTCTGCCACTGAGCCACAACCCCAGCCTTGCCTCATTCTTATCATAGGGTGAAAGTATTCAGACTTTCACCTTGAAGTATAAAGGTTAACTGTGCATTTTTAAATATAAAGGTTAACTGTGCATTTTTAAATATGTGCTCTTTTATTAAGCTGAGGAAATTTGCCTATATTTTTGTGTTTTTAAAGTTATTTTTTTCTTCATACTTGTATGTTAAATATTATCAAATAATTGACATTATATTATATTTTTTCTTTAGTCTTGGATTATATTGACTGACTTTTGAAAATTGGACCAGATTTGCATTTCTGAAATAAGCTCCACTTGGCTATATGTACACTTCTCTTTTTATGTGTGAATTATGTTTGCTTATATTTGGTTAGAAATATTTACAGCTACATTTATGAAAGATATGGTCTGTAGGTATTTTTTTTTCCAAAAGATTTTATAGCCCTTACTTTGTTTAAGGGCTTTATAGCCTTTCTTTGTCTAAGCATCTATCAAAGAACAATTTCAGTTTAGCTTTTCATCTTTCAATCACAGATAGTTTAAGATGTATATGATTTCTCTTTAAATTCTACCCCAAAATACTAAATACTGTCAGTTAGGTACCTGCCTGGCACAAAACAGGGACTCAGTGGATAGATTGTGTTTAAATTAAATCTTGTATGATTACATGGTGTCTCATGGATACACTGTTATGTTCTGTAATACCTCCTACCCTGTCCATAAAATTTCAGTCCCCATAAGAACTTGGTGGTAAAAGGATATTGAGGTTTGACATCAGAAGACCTGAATCTCAATCCTAGTTTCTGCACTAACTATGTTGTGTTGAACGATTATTTAGCCTCTCTGACTAAATAAGATAAATGTAAATTAATTTGTAAATATCTTACAAAATAAACTCCCACTTTATTTCATTGAATATTCTGTTTTAGGAAAGTACTATTAATAGTGATTGCTACTATCCAAACTGTTCATTAATACTTTTTTCCTGTTTCTTTGATAATTTTAAAAATCATTAAGTGTTAGCAAAGAATGAGACTAAGATATTTCAAAGATTTATGCTTTGATTTTATTATATGGAAAAAGTGATCTTTGACTTTGTATTTAAACAATGCCTCTATTTAGGAATGTGGTATTTGCCTCTCTACCTTTTCTTTGTGACTGTTCTCTACTGGTAGATATCTTTAATTAAGAAATCATTACTATTTTTCTAGTTAATCTCTTTCATGTTAAAATTTAGAAATCTTAGAAACCCACCATGCTTAAATGTTTAAATCTTAGAAACCCACCAATGAAAAATGCTTCTGTAGGGAGAGGAGTAGAGTAGAGGAAGGGGCTAGCTGGGGAGGGAGAGGGGGTGGGTCAGGGAAGGACTGCAGAGTAAATGACCAAACAATGCTATGTGCACCTGTGAATATATCACAGTGAATTTCACTTTTATTTGTAACTATATGATGCACTAATGGAAAGATAAATTAACGGAAGAACATTCAATAGAGTAAAGGAAGGGGACCTGGGGAGGGAGGAGACAGTACTGGGAAGTGAGATGAAGCAAATTACACTATATTCATATACTATATGCATTTATGCTTATGTCACAGCAGACCCCAGAAGAATCATGTACAACTATAATGTACTATGAAAAAATGCTTCTATAAAGTGTTTTTGTCATTTTCCATTCACCAGGGATCAATTTTTAGTAGTGGTCTTTTTATGTGGCTGGTTTGGTTTTTTAGGGGTACCTCTGACCAAGTAGTGATGCTAAAATTATGTCTTATTCTCCATATTAAATCATAGGGCTTGGCACTGCTTGGTGGTAGGGCCAGTTCTGAATCATTCATGGTGGTTAGTGACCCGGATTTTTTTCTTTCTTGATGTCTTTCTTTCTTTTCTTAGGAGAAAAGAAGCCCTTGAATGTTTACTTTGTTTGGTTTTAAAATATTTTATAAATCCTGTATGGGCCAATAATAAAGTACCTCTCAATAAAAATGGATTAGAAAGTTCAACTCCTAAAGCAGCTTAAAAAAATATTTTTAATTAATGTGGTGCTGAGGATTGAACCCAGTGCCTCACATGTGCTAGGCAAGTATTCTACCACTGAGCCACAACCCCAGTCCCTGAAGTAACTTTTAATGGTGAGATTTTTTTTTATATTCCATAATTGAGTAATACCTGTTGATAATCATGTGAGTAACAGTCATACATCCTACTATCCATTGCCAGATTAAAAATAATATGAGAGATGCAAATTGAATACAAAATATATCATCAAAAATAGAAAGAAGGACGTGAAGGGCAAAGACATTTGTGTGCACTGGCAAATTCTCAGATTTTTTATAGAATGGAATTTTTGTCTCCTGGTCTCTTTTTCTTGCCTCCTTTCAGGTGGTTTCTGTCAGTGTGATGCTATCTGACCTCATGTGTAATTCCTTCATAGAGGGAAATGTTATACTCTTTGGGGGCCTTGCATTTCAGGTCTCTCTCATCATCCTTTCTACCTAACCCCTGTCTAATGTCAAAGAGGAGCAAATGCTTTAAATTGTCCACTTTCTAGGTTATTCTGTCTTTGTTGCCTAATTATGTTTAAATCCATTAAATACTTTTGTAGCAAAAACATTGATAAAGAAATCAAGTGGACATGTAATTTACTTAAGAATCCAGTTTCTATTTCTCCTGGATCTTGGTTAAAAGTACCACCCATGTACACATATACATGTAAATGAATAGAGCACATGTGAATGTTTTGTTTATTGATTTGTGTCTCTTCCATTTGGGTAAATATATTGTATTTCTTTAAATGTATTATATTTGAGTTCAGTAAGTAAAAAGCTTTAAAAGTTTCTTTACATTTTTAAAAAATGAAACCTGGTTTTTCCTATTTGTTTTAGCTGGAGTCACAGCAGAAGCCATGCAGACTATCACCACTGCTCCAGATGCCTCAGGGTCAGAAGCCAAAGTCCAGGAGGAAGAGCATGACCTTGTGGATGACGACATCACCACTGGTAAGTGTGGGCATCTTTATCATAATTTGTTTGGAGCTAGTGCAAAATGCTTTCTAGATCATTTATATTGGGATTAAATATTCTTAAGAAAAGGATGGAAACATATTGATGGTATATTTAGTTTTGTGAAACTTTTTTTTTTTTAATCTTAGGGTGAAAATAATTGGAGTTGTTTATTTGGTTCGGGTTGCTCATTGTTGCTTTAACAGTGAATCTGCTAGCTGTGCACTTGATTCTCTGAGACTTTTAAATTGAGAAACTGGATCATTACTAATGCCTGGGAACATGTAGAGAAATATACACAACCATTAGATTATGAAAAGTTTCGCAATTATAAGGCACACTCAAGAATACTGAAGTTGTAATAACAATACATAAAATATAGGCTTCATAAGGAAACTTATAGAAACTCTTTATATTTATACAATAGAATTAAATGCTGCCCTTTAAATTTATTTACCCTATGTGGATATTGAACATTTTTATCCATATTATCTGTCATACAGCCAGTCACAAAGTAAATTTTAAGAAACTTGCACGTAAGATATATGCATATATTTGAATTACTGAATTTCTCTATTCATTTACTTCAGCTTCTTTGAATGCAGAGGATTAAAAACAGTCTGAATAAATAGTATTATTGGAATTAGGAATACTAAGCTTATTTTGGTGCAGATTAAAATTTAAAATCTATCTAAAATCTATAGCCTGTGCCACTCTTACAAGTAAGTATTGCATAAGTTGGCGATCATCTAATTTTTAATACAAGTGTTGAATAACCACCACCATGTATTAATGTATTTGTGTCCAGTAAGTAAAAAGCTTTAAAAGCTTCCATTCTTCTTCTTTTTTTTTTTTTCCATTTTTTTTAACTGCGTGGTGGTGGTTATTACTTATTAATTCTTTTCAATGTCTGGGTTCTTTGATGACAGATATCATACAACTTAAGTATAAATGATTTCATGAACCACCAATATTTGTGAAATCATTTAGTGTTTCCTAATTATGGGATTTGTTTTAATAGCTACTACATAAAATTCATTTGAATTTGCAGATTTTTTTAACTAAGACATTTTTTACTTCTTGTTTTCATTGTAATGTTGTTAAAAAGTAGTTTTTTAAGTTATTATAAAAAAAATTTTGCTTTTGCAATAGTAGGTTAACTCTATATTATGTAATAAAAGTTTAATTTTTTTTTTTTTTGAGAGAGAGAGAGATTATTTTTCAATATTCATTTTTTAGTTCTTGGCGGACACAACGTCTTTGTCTGTATGTGGTGCTGAGGATCGAACCTGGGCCGCACGCATGCCAGGCGAGCGCTCCACCGCTTGAGCCACATCCCCAGCCCAAAAGTTTAATTTTTGAGCAGTCCAGTAAGCATTACTAATCAGTACCCTGAATTTTTATATTGTATATTACTACCAAATTTATGAGGTGACATATATAGCACATTACTGTGTTCTTATTTTATTGTTTTAAAAAATCAAGAAGCTGAAAATCACAAGCCTAGTTGAAGTTAATTAATGCTGCATATATTATAATTTTAATCTGTAAGAGATTTGGTTAAACATGTGTCAATGAATGGCTCTTGTGAGTTGATTTATTCACTTCCTTCCATGGGTACCAAAAACATCCATGTTCACTCTCCAAAGAATTTAAATGACTGAAATAGGTTTCCTTAACCTGTGTGAAAGTAGCTAGCATGCTGCGGTTGGTGGGTCGTTCGGCTTACCTTTAGATTGTGTGACTTGATTAAGCTGCGGTGTAGATTTTTGTGAAGCTTTAGAGGAATACAATATTTCTTTTTATTGACTAAAATCCTGTATAAATTGCATTATGAAAAATGTGGTAGATGTGGTGGGAAAAACCTGTCTCAAGCACAATAATCTTATTCTGGGATAGCGGGCAATGTAGAGTATGAGTGCTACAAAAGGAAAACTGGCCATTCTAGCCAGCCCCACCAAGAAATCCTATTCGTTTTTCAGTTATTTAGAAGGAATTGTTTTAATATCTCTTTGTAAAATAACTAGAAATTATATCATTACAGATATTTGCCTATATCTTGAATGAATTCTTATTTAGAAACTTTTTTAGGTTAATATGTATAGTTATATTCATTTTGTTTGTGCAATAATCTAGTACTTGATCAGATCAAAATACTAATTGAAATGTGAAATATTATCTAGTGTTTTTGCTAAAGGTAGAATAATCCTTTCTGGACTGTTTCTTTTGGCTGAGAATGAATGAGGTCTGAATGCTATCTTAGGATGCTGGCATCTGAGCTGAGCAGTCTTTGTTGGTATTTGCTGTGTAAAAGTGAAGAAGCATAGATAAAGCTGCGTTGGTGTTGCCTATGATCAATTGGAACTAATTAAATTTATTTGAAATGAAGAGTCTTAACTGGAAAAGAACAGTGGGAAAAACTAGGAGGAAAAAAATTGAGTCTTGATTGAGACAATTTAAACCTTAGCCCTGTCATTTAAAAAATATGCTGCAGCTTCTTTCTATATCTTTCTTTTTAAAGCTAATATCTATTGATCGGCTCTAAAAAGTAATGCCAGTGTACCTTGGTCAACACACTCTCAGATTTACTTAGCATTATGTCTTAAGGCTCATCAAATTCTTTTCCCAACCACATGTTTTAAATTATATATCACAGATGTTTTAGCCATTTTGGTGGATTAATACTATTTTTATATTGAAAAAATGTTAAAATCTATTACACATTTTTATATTGTACACTACACATGGGAAATTAACTTTATTTTTTAATGAAATTGCTTCAGATTTTGCTAAATTCTGTATATTTAAAATCTGTTTTAACATTTTCTGTGAACAATAATATTATTATAAATATAAGATTATTTCTAGATTATTTGTATATTCAGAGTTATAAGGATATTACCCTACTCCTGTGTTTGCTTTTGTATGTCTACTTTTATATTTAGCATTATAACTTGAAATTTGAATAGATAAAATATGTAATCAATACTTGTAAATAATGTGCTCTTATTCACATTATGATATTTATAGGACACAATGATATTAATGGAGTAAATCTCAAAAAATGACATACATAGAAAATATTATGAAGTAATCATAGTCTAATTTTATAAAAGTAGACCTTTATGTGATTTAATTTCCCTTTGTATAGCTTTCTTCACTGTATAAGATGGCATTTTAATTGAGGATGAAGGGTTGGAGATATAGCTCCGTTAGTAGAGTGCTTGCCTCGCATGCACAAGGCCCTGGGTTTGATCCCCAACACCACATACACACACACACACACAAATTGAGAATGAAACAATAGTATAGTTCCTTCAAATGTTATGTTAGAATAGCCTTCCCATCATTTCAGGATAAAAATAATTTTAGAAGGATTTCATTCATAAACCTGCATGTATTCCTTTAAGAAAGTCACTGTAGTCTTCTGAGGGTTATACTTGAGTGTACTGCTTCTTGTTCAGTATTAGGAAGGACACAGACTGACCATATAACAGTGATAAAGGGTCAGGAGTCACTGACATTGTCAAAAATACAGCTTGTTCCTAGATCAGCAACTAGATAGTTGACAGATTCAACTGTTTACAACAAAAGCAGGAATAATATATGGATCTAAATGGATCTGTTGGCTGCGTTTTAATTTTTGATGCATTTTTTTTTGTAAAATCATAATTATGTATATTTTAATTACTGATTTAAGTGAAAATATGTCTCTTTTACTGATTAATAGATGCTCAGAAAATGCATTTTGCTATGCTGTCTGTGCTACAGAACTCTTGCCTGCCTGTCTGCCCCAGTTGCTTTCTGCACATGTGTTATTTTAAATCTAATTCTTAGCAGATGTGTATTTTACTGATTTAAAGTTTATATTTCTTGGAGGATATCCTATTTAAAGGTGAATATAGTTTTTTATAAATGTGCCTTTATTTTACCTTGGCTTGTAGAATCAAAGTTTTTTTGTTGTTGTTGTTGTTGTTTTGTTTTGTTTTTATAGGAAGAACCCTAAGAACCTTAGAGACTGTTTTAGTGTACTCTCTTTTTTTTATACTCAAATAAATTAATGTCACTCCTTATTAAAGAACTTACATGATTGATGCCTAGTGTCATAAAACATGTATTTGAGCTCTCAGGTAGAATGTGTGAGTAGAATGATTTAATGTGAAAAATGTGGCAGTGGTTAAAGGTAGTATTACTGTGTATGTTTTATTCTTCCTATTGTGTGGTCATCTTAGTGCCCGTACAGTCATTCAGTAAATATATTTTGAATAGTACCAGACACTGTTTAGGATACATCATGGAATAAAATAGGTATCAACACTTTTCCTCATGGATCTTATATTCTAGTTGGGGGAGGTACACAAAAATAATTAGAAGTAAATATACAGAATGTTAGGAGATGAGACATCTATGGAAAGAAGAAAAAGGAAGGATAAGAGAAATTGGATGTAATATCAACTTCCAACTTCTTCTGTATCAAGCATTTTATACCTTTTACAAAATTGCTTTGAAACAGACAGTAGCATGTTCTTAGACATGCAGATGAAGAAAAAAAACTCACAGAGGGAACTTTTATAGAAAAGATGCCACAGTTGATGGTGTCACAGGTGACCTTTATACTTGTTACCATTATACTTATTACTTTGCAGGATATCCATCTTATTTTTTTTAAATCCAAATTTTGTCATTCTAAATTTACACCAAGAAATTATCTCCTTTAGAAAAAGAATCATCATGTATTCATCCTAAATAATTTTTCTTTCTCTGTATTATTTTAAATATGGAGTAAGAAAATATAAATTAAAATATTTCTTTATTTAATGTTTAATGCTTTGCCTTAGTTGTATAGTAACAAGGATAAATACAGTACTTCTAAATATGGCATTTGAGAGTTTCTGACATGAATTTAAAAATATAGCAAATATGCTGCTATATACAACTGACACTCATTTTCTTTTCCCATATTTCTTCTTTGGGTGATTTACTTTCCTTGTTCTTTA